GAGGGTTCGTCGCTGAAACGTTTGCTGATCATGATGGTCTCATGCCTTTAACAGGCCCACCCAGGAGCGCCATAAAAGCAGCTATGTAACATTCGCCCAAATATTACACAGCGACGGAGCGTAGAAAAAGTACCTATTAACGACTGGCAGGCGTCAGTTACCTTAATCCTACTCGTTTTTCACCGTCTCGACCTTGCCAGTTGATTTTCTGGTCTGTTTAGGGCTAAGTAAAAAGTTACTATTTTTAGGCCATCAGTCAAACGACTTTTGATCAGCTTTCGTTTACATGCGAACACAACCACATAGCTGAGTCTCGGATCCTCAGACTACGTGATTGCTATTACAAACACGGCTCGAATATCCTATTTTAATATGTTTTTGGTGACAGTTCTATATTAAATCCATTGGAGATGGATTGACCCTTTCCTCATCCTAGCTACTCATATTCTAAAATATCAATCAATACCGGTGTCAATTCAAAGTTCTATGGCATCAGAGTAGCTAAAAAGTTAGTTTACTACAGTATTTCACCATATAACAGTCTCTGGGGGACCAAGCCTCCGCTTCCGTGTTCTCCTCGAGATAACGTTGTTATCACTCTCAATTCGTGGCACGGGAGGGTACTGCTCTCCACCACCGAAGCCTCCTTTCCCACTATCTTCTTTCACTAAGGATCTTATCGTGCGTGACTGTCACGATAAAAGGCTTCGTTTTTCCGTGTTCTCGTGTGACTGTTTTTCACTCTATTTGGTGTTGTTCTGACCTTTTTGCCTTTTTTAGTCAAAATGGCCGTTTTTTCGTATTTCTGAGAAATATCCACCTGACGATCGAAATTTTAGAAATAGAAAATTTCAGAATACTTCGACCCTCCTTTCAAGCACTTTTCCGCTGTTAAGGCCTTTCCTCTCTAATTCGTGCTTTGTCGGAAGGTTGCGCTGTGCCAATCTGGCAGAATGGCACATACTCCCCGGACAGTTCCCATCAATGTCCCTATTGATTGCATAACACCGGGTTATCGTCAAGTAGTGTTCCAGTTCTCTATAATCAATCTTACAAATCGCATTAGGAAAGGAAATCTATCTACTTCACCTCAACTCACTACGTGTCACAAATGGCATCATACTACATCTCACTGCCTTTCAACATTTTCACAAAATTTGCACCATGAGGAGTGTCCTAGATAAAATTTCCTTTCTGACTACTTACGTCATCCTGCCATAAAACTTCTTTTCGATCTTGCTGATTAAAAAGTTGGGACGTGGCACGGCCACGCACCCGTTAAAATATGTTAACGTCACTCACCAAGTAATTATTTAATTATGCGGTCCTCTTTGATATTAAAACTAAGAAACTCTGTGCTAGGAAAGTTAATGAGTTACTCGCCCTCTTCGAGCGAGTTTACCCCAACTTACGAGGTCGCCACACAGTGAACACGTGTCTTACAAAGGTTAAAAACATCAGTCGTGTTTAAATAGGTAAATATACTCACCTATGTTCTATATATATATATACATAAGTAGCATAACTAAAAACTTCTTTCAACAATTTCAACAATTGCAACAATTTTCAATGTCTGGTCTGACCAAACTTAAACCAAACAAAAAGTTTAACAGTTTCAATAATCAAACTTGGTTGATTAGTTTAAGTTTTAACACACAAAGACAATCAAGTTTTTCTCCCTCTCTCGCTCTCCCCCACCCTTCCTGGAACATGAATTTTCGGTCTTAACTGGGTAAAAAAGCTATTCACGGTAATCCGGAAGGCTTCCGCGTTCCGAACTATCCTTCCGCCCCGGAGGTTAGGGCCTATTAAGGGCGTTATTATGAGCATCCGCTCTGCGCGGAGTGCTCGTTAACGGTTCTGCCGGTCATGATGTTGAAAAAGAATAACACCCAGTAGCGCCATAAAAACATCTATGTAACATTCGCCCGGAAGTACATATCGACGGAAAATAAAATTAAGCTATAAAACGACTGGCCAACGACTAAACAAAGCTCTTCATGTTTTCACCGTCTCTACCAAAGCCAGTTCTTTTGGTGGTCTTGTCAATATCGGGTCGACAAAACCTTACTGTTCTCCGGCTTCGACCAGAACACTCAAATTAACTTACTTTCATGCAAAATTAGTGAGCTCATGGCTGGGTCTCAGTATCCCCAGATTACGAGGTCACTCCTAAAAACAGGGCTACTACTATTTGTTATATTACTATTGTTTTTGTTCAGTAGATAAAAATCATCATCTCCATCGAAAATGGATCAACCCTTTCCCTAAACCCCTAGCTTCCCTAAACCCCTAGTAATAGGGAAGCTAAAATTTATATAAAATGTTTTAAGTGCAAAACCCGAGACCCCTCCGGATTCCTGAATCCGGGGAAATAACACCCTTATCTCCTCTCCGGAAGGCTGTTTTCTACCCTTCACTGTTGTTGTGAATGGCCTTGCAACGATTGTAGCGACACAATCGTTGCAACTCGGAGTGGTCTCTGCTAACTCTGCTATTCGTTCAATTCTCGTTCCGGTTTTTTATCGCGATTATCGTTGTTGTCGCCGTCGCAACTATTGTTGTTCTGTTTTTATTTCAGATTTCTTCCAAAATGGTCGTTTTTGACGTTTCTCAGAAATATGACGTCATCATTCGAAATTTTAAAAGTTTAAAATACCAGAATATTCTAGCCTTCACGATTCGTCCAATCGTCTGAATAGCACTGTTCATCCTCAAGAACTGCCAATTCGGAAGGTTAGCTGCTAATAATCCGAAATTGCATTTTCGTCCATTCTGGCCGAATGTCAAATGAACCAGTGATTTCTGGAACCACACTCTGTGCAAGTGGTAACTATACCTTGTTTGTCAACAAGATTGCTACCTTTTTTCGGTACGCCTCTCAAAAAACTGTTGCTGGCCTGTCCTCGACCTCGAAAACGACCGCGTCTCTGAAAAGGATCAGATATCAACGCAGATTCCTCGTTTTGCTCTTCGTTTGCCACGAGACCTGGTTCGTCTTTTAGCTGCACTCCCGAGCTGGAGGAGGAACTTCCTGAGAAAATTCGTTGCAGTGACTTTTTCATAGTGTCAAAATTCAGCTCATTCGACGCGGAGAGAACCAGTTGGCGTTCATTGGAGGTTAAATTACAGGAATGGAGCAACTTGCACGCTAAAATAGAATCTGGTAATTCCATTTTGAACAGCTTTCTTTTCGTGTATGCTCTCTCAAAGTCAATGATATGCTCAATAACACTAGCCGAGGGCCTTAGATAGATTCAAAAGCAGTAGTAGTAGTAGTAGTTGAGGCTTCTGGGAAGTCACGCTTCCCACGGGTTTATGAGTCCCGTCATTTACATGTTTTCATCAAGTTAAGTTTGAGTTTCGAGTTTTTTCCAGTTGTTACAGTGAATGCATTTGAAGATAATTCTCCAAGTGCATCTGTTTAGATAATTGAATTTGACAAAGTAATCCCAATAAAGTTTGCTTATTGATTTTTTGTCAAGTTGGTTCCCATATTCTTCGTAGTGTTTGATGACGATGTTGTGTTAAGAGTTTCGTTCCGTGAAAAAAGTTTTCGTCTGATTTGTTCAGTCTGTTTTTGTTGACTGCATGTTCTCCTCTGCTGTGTTGGCGAGTTTTTTCTTCCTTAGAAGATTCAACATGTACACCTCGTAAGAAGTGTACATCTCGTAAGATTGGTCAACTGTTTCTTTGCCAAATATACTGTACAGTTTTTCCAATAAATCTTTCAAACCGTTCTCACTCTCTAGGGTTTCACCGCCCACTTCCATAGTAATTTCGCGACGTTTGCCACTGAGGGATAGTGCGACAGCCAAACCTAACTTTTTAGCAGATAGATCTTGTAACATTCGCCCAAATACTACACAGCGACGGAGCGTAGAAAAAGTACCTATTAACGACTGGCAGGCGTCAGTTACCTTAATCCTACTCGTTTTTCACCGTCTCGACCTTGCCAGTTGATTTTCTGGTCTGTTTAGGGCTAAGTAAAAAGTTACTATTTTTAGGCCATCAGTCAAACGACTTTTGATCAGCTTTCGTTTACATGCGAACACAACCACATAGCTGAGTCTCGGATCCTCAGACTACGTGATTGTCATTAAAAACACGGCTCGAACAACCTATTTTAACATGTTTTTGTGTGACAGTTCTATATTAAATCCATTGGAGATGGATTGACCCTTTCCTCTTTCTAGCTACTTATATTCTAAAATATCAAACTATACTGGTGTTAATTTAAAGTTTCACGACATCCAAGTAGCTATACAGTCAGTTTTATACAGTCACTTCACATAAAACAGTCTCTGGGGGACCAAGCCTCCGCTCCCGTGATATTCCTGCGATAACGCTCTTATCTCTTCCAATTTGTGTCCCGGGAGGGTTCCGTGGTATATTCCTTCCCCACTGAAGCTTCCTTCTCCACTAATATTCGCTGATAAGGGTCTTATCGTGCTTTGTTGCCACGATAAGAGGCTTCGTGTTTTTCGTCTCTTGTGCGACCGTTTTTCACACTATTTGGCGTTGTTCTGCTTTTTCGTCGTTTTTCGTCAAAATGGCCGTCTTTTTGTATTTCTCAGAAATATTCACTTTTCAATCGAAATTTTAAAAATAAAAATTCCAGAATATTCCTACCCTCCTTCGCAATACTTTTTCGTTAATAAGGCGTTTATTCGTTCTTTTTCGTGTCGCCGGAAGGTTGCGCTGTGCCATCTGGCAGAATGGCACATCTGTTAGACGCTTCCAAATATCAACCTCGTTTTTCCAAGTGTCATAAGGCTTATCTGTTTCCCATGTCGGCGGGATTTTGACGAAAGAGCTCATTTTCTCCTGCTACCATGAGAAAAACTGGATAAAAATAGTCGTTTATTACAAAACCCCGCGACACACGACAATATTAAACACATGGCAATGAAGCACATTACAATACATTAACAGCTATAACGGAAGGGCGCCTTTTAATTGACCTTTTTTTCATTGTCTGTGTTTGAGAATTGCTTTTTATTCAGATTAAGTATGGCTACAAATGGATGCATAAAACGAGAAGGATATTGCGTCTCATTCAGCGCTGATAAATTATCCCGGGTTGACCACCCGTCGCTAGTCTTAGTTATCTAAGTTTTTAATAATACAAATCTGCGGTCCATGGAGTTTTCAGGTGCGCCTGTGCCATTGTTAGATGAAAATGATCCGCCTTCCTCGGCTTCAAATGATTTAGCTTCATTTCGCCAACATTGGATACAAGAGTTACAAGACAACTTGAGGATTCGCTCTCGAGATGCAAGTGCTTCTAGCAGTGTACACGATTCATCTCAGGCGGAACGGAAAACTCTGGCAAGATCGCTTTACCAAATTGGTATCTCAGAAGAGCGAGCTGGAAACCCTTTTAAAGCGGTTAATTTTTATGCAAGGGCGTGTAGAATGTGCCCTGACATCGAACAAGAGTTCCTTAAGTTCCACGATTCTTCCAAGAGCTCAGATACGGCTACACCAGCTGCTGAAGAGGAAGAGGATTCTCAAGGATCCAGCTTCTTAAGTTCTTTCGCAGGCATCAAATTGTCAAGTGACTCGGAGACTCCAGACGAAGGCAATCTATTGGCAATTTGTCTGCCTGGAGACAATTTTGATAGCTCGAGAACGCACATATCTAAATTGCCTTACGAAATAATGCTGTTGATTCTGAGAAGTGTGGCCTTTCCTGATTTTGACATGAAATCCGTCGAGTACTTTGGGATGGTCTGCAAAGGGTTCCGTCATATCGCCAGAGATGCTGACGTATGGAGAAGAGCTTGCCTCAGAGTTTGGGGCGATGCAATTCCTGGCGAGTTCACTAACCTCTCGTGGAGAGAGATGTACCTGAGAAGACCGAGGCTGAATTTTCATGGAGTATATATAAGCAAAGTTGTATATACGCGGCAAGGCGAACAGAGCTTCGAGAGTTGTTATAATATCTTTCACACTCTGGAGTACTACAGATATTTGAGGTTTTTTCCTGATGGACTAGCCCTAATGTACACCTCACCCGAGGAGCCTAAATTGGTAGTCCCAAAGCTTAAATATGCATCTTGCCGTCTCTCAGGCATTAAAAGAGGCCATTTCAACTTGGAGGAGAACAGCGTGATTCTCATTCTTCAGGACGACGAAAGAAATCATTCAGCCAGACATGCCAGACCATCCCGCAATCGGACAGTGGAGCCGTTCTACGAAAACAATTTCTTCATGACTCTCTCTATCTCAGCTGCGGGGCGCAAGAAACCTAGTTGTAAGCTGTCATGGGTGTCCTATTCTGTCCAGACAAAGAAAATATTTCCACTGACGCTGGCTAACGGGAGAACGAAGCTAGATGAATTCGGCAATGTGTTTCCAGCCGATGTTGAGCTGGGAAAAATAACAGATTTCAATATAAACAACAAGTCTCAGTTCCAACCCTTCCTATTCTCCCTTGTTCGCAGCTACACCGCTGTTCCAACCTTGTAAAACTCAAAAAAACTGATACCAGATATAAATCTTCATCCACGGTCTTGAAAAGAACAAGTTGCTATTGCAGCTGCAACTACAGATCATATGTCTGCATAGTTGCGGCGTGGTGTTTATTTGGATTAAACTGCAAATTATAATATATATATATATAAACCGAGTTTAACTAATTAGTAATTACGTTTAGATTTAAAAAATAGATAATATAATATTCCGTATCTGGCGGATGGATAATACGGGTATACTGTCGTCTACTGTTATGCGAGCTGTTCAATTGGTAATGTTATTTAGCACTACTGGCTATCAATTGTATTTAGATTGGATTCATTATTTAGATATGTCTCGAGCGGTAAAGACCTATCTTGCTTTAAAGGATGCTGGTTCCGATTCCTAGCTTCTGATATTTCGCAAGTCGATCGGGGCAAGTAAGAGCATGATTGGAATAGTTTATTAAGTTGATCTCTATTCAATTGATTCGTAGCTCGGTATAAATCTCCAATGATTGGTATTAATTACCATCAATGTTTACATAGTTAAATAAATATATGATGCAGCTCTATTTTAACATCAAGGTGAATTATGTAATCTATTCGGTTCAGATGGTTAATTAGAATGAATGACATCATGAAGGGATGATGTCACACAACCTCACAAGAAGAAGTCTTCCCGGGTGGTTGAAGTGTTTCATCAGATACATTTACAATAATTCACATAATAATTTAAGACTGCTTTGATTAAGAATATGTACAAGTATCAATATGGTATGGGTCTATCAAAAGTTATATCGCAATAATTTAATAAACTCATAATATTAGAAGCACAGTTTATTAATTCAATTTATAAAACGAGAGAAGATAAATTATTTTAAACTTAAATGGGAGATAATTTTTAAGCAAGCCACCTTGAGTCGGGGTATGGGAGTTAAAGTGATAGATGATAAGGATAAATTAATGATATCATGATGTATTCAGTTGTCAACTGTAACTAAATTTCCACGGCAAGAACTGTCGTGTGGAGTAGCTGAATAGTTTTGGTCGTCGTTTCGTTTTAATTTTTGATATCGCTGTCTTCGTTCGTTGTTGCCTTTCATTCTTTTTGTGCTCGTTTGATGCTGAAGTCTTTTTGATATGAGGCGGTGTGGTTCCAATCGTTGCCTCATAGATTGTGAATTGATTATCAACAACTTAACAGTGATATGTTTTGTTGATTTCTTCACGATTTCTTTGAAAATTTTCAACTAGCTTAGCAATTAGTACTTTATATTACTTGCTAAAAGGTTGATATTTCATTTAATGTTCGTTGTCTATTTTTCAGAAGTCTTCTGGTCTTCATCGTATGGGCGTTTTGTGCCTTTATTGGCCTTACTCCCTGAATGAAGGTGATCGACTTTTTTCTTTGAAAAAGTCAAAATTACACATTTCTACGATGTTTTTGCATTGATCGCGATCATCGTATTGTGTGTAGTGTCTGGCTTTTTTTTTTTTTTTTCAGTTCTTTTCTTCTACTGTAGCTGCACTTCACTCCTATAGGCTATTCAGACAATTTGCTGGTTCGCCTGAGCAAAATTTGGCGTCAGTTAGAGTAGTTGATAAATTACTTTTTTTTTTTTTTTTTTTCCATTAATTTCGTTTATCATTTTTTTTTTGATATCTTCTTGGCATTCAAGATTCGTGTGTTGTTCTTCAGTATCACTGACAACCTTTTAGGGTTGCCTAACAAGCACATTGGATGTTTGTTGGCTCATTTGAACGCTTTCTTTCTGAATTTCTGCGAAGATATCCCTCGAATTTTATATTTTTTCTTGTTTTGCCTATCATAATACATGGGAATAGTGTAAATTGATGTATTTCTCCAAATTTTGATCTGCTAGTGGATCGACTTCCTGCCTGTTCCTTATTGGTGGTCTAATGATTACTGAGCCCAAAAAATTTCTTTCTTCTCTAGCTAATATTTTTGGGGGGAGCAGAATCTTTTTATTCGTAATGCTTAAACATGGGCAACAGGTGGATTTTTCGAGATCTCGCGAAGTTGACTTCTCCTAGTGAGCCGACTTCCTGCCTGTTCCTCATTGGTCGTCTAATGATCACTGAGCCCAAAAAAATTGGTTCTTCGTTAGCTAAAATTTTTGGGGGGAGCAGAAACTTTTTATTCGTAATGCTTAAACATGGGCAACAGGTGGATTTTTCGAGATCTCGCGAAGTTGACTTCTCCTAGTGAGCCGACTTCCTGCCTGTTCCTCATTGGTCGTCTAATGATCACTGAGCCCAAAAAAATTGGTTCTTCGTTAGCTAAAATTTTTGGGGGGAGCAGAAACTTTTTATTCGTAATGCTTAAACATGGGCAACAGGTGGATTTTTCGAGATCTCGCGAAGTTGACTTCTCCTAGTGAGCCGACTTCCTGCCTGAGTCCTAGTTGGGCCTTGAAGGTATTCCACGGGTTCAAAGCGGTTGCATTACGTATATTTCGACTTGGGTGTCAGTTTTTCAGAAAAGCTCAACTTGAGGAAATGAGAGTTTTCTCGAAATTTTATACTTTTTCTGTTTTATTTTGGTTTTTTCGTGACTTCAATTGTATCGATTGGGTGGTTTTGGAGCTTACATTGTTAAGAATGCATGCATGAACGTTACTAGCTGATATCGTGATTTTTCGTCACACATAAATAAAGATTTTGATGTTCGTTTTTTCGAAAATGTCGCAAATTAGGCTGAAAACTCTGCTTTCTTTCAATTTGTCGAGTCCACATCCGATTTTCGGCATGGCTATAGCGTTTATTCCCTTCTGCAGTAGCTGCTGCTTCATGCAGTTGAGGCTTCTTGACAAATCGTAGTATGTTGGCTTGTCAAAAAATTGTGGTTTTGTGACTAAATTGAAAATTGACTTGTTTTCCCAAGGCAAAGAAACTGAAACTGATGATCCAACTATCGGTGTTTCAATGCTTTTTAGGGTTGGTTTGATGCATGGGTAGGCGCTGCTGATCTGCTGTGCTACTCCTTTTGCCATTTGAAAGTCACTTGAGACGCAGTGAGCTATAGAGCCAGGGAACTGTAGGACATCACCTGATCCCACAAAGATATTTGGTTCATATATTGCATTTACCGAGTCTTTGCTGCTTCCAGGTCCATCTTTTTGTTTAGTGAATTGTTTCGCTCGTTTAACGCTGTCCATAATAATGTTCCTTTTCGAATCCCGTGAAGGAAAGTCTTCATTCGCCGCCTCCGCTTTCTTTCGTATGTTTGCTTTATTGTCCTTTTGCGTTGATCGTGGAATGAATGTAACTGGGGCCACTTCGTGTCCGTCAACGGTTCGGAGTCCATACTTTCGCGGTTGTTTTGGGCGGCTGGGTATTGGGTGATATCGAACATCATTACTAAACCGAATTTGGGCGTGAATTCGGTCTCTAGCTTCAGCTGCTGCTTTTCGTCTGACAACTGGCTGTGGTTCGCGAAACAATTCGTCGAGGTTGTATCCCTCAGGATCAGAGTTGTTGCTGGTTAATCTGTCAGTGACCTGTTCATCAATGATATCCATTGGTGGCGCTGCTGGTAGTTCAGCGAGTGGTAATTCATGCACATGTACTGCTCCTGGGATTGGGGGTGGATCCGGCGGTGGTGGTATTACTGGTACTGGGACCGGTAATGGTACCACTATTGGTGCTGCTGGAATTGGCATCGGTGCAGGTGCTGCTGCAACTGCTGGCGCTCCAAAGGGCACTGATAGTCTGATTCTAGCTGGTGCGGCTGGTTGATCGGTTTCGTCAGGATTATCAGGTTGGATCTCATCTAAGAGTTTCGGCAAGTTTTCGTCGAAAAGTCCTGATTCGCTTCGGTATTTTCCGAGTGAAGGATCCGTTTGAAACTTCGTTGGATCTATTGGATTGAGATCTTCTGGTTGATGCTGTGGATCAACTGGTCTGAGACGAATTCGGTGCACACATTGGGTGTAGTTAGTTCCAACTTTCCGAATTATATAGTTCGAATTTGTTAACACTTTCTCAACTCTGTACAGGGGTATCCAGACTTGCATTGATTTGCTTCCAAAGTCTGACTGTGTAGTCAGCAGAGGATTTAGTAGTAAACAAAATGATTCGACTGTGAGAGGCTGCGCAAGTGCCTTTTGATCGTAATATCCTCGATACTTGTGGTACGAAGAAATCAAGTTCTTTTTTGTTTCTTTGAACTTTTCTAGCATCGCGTCTTGCATTGCCGTAACGAAGTCTGATTCTGCTGTTACTGATTCCATTGCTTTCGTCGAAAAGCGAAGATCAAGTGGTTTTGTTGGTTCTCTTCCATGAAAAATGGAGCTAGGGCAGCATCCAATTGATGAAGAGTACGACGTATTGTGAATGAATGTTGCCAATGGGACATATTTGTGCCAGTCTGACCATTGTTCATTAGTATTCAGCTTCAAGATCCTTTTTAGAGGTCCATGAGATCGCTCGACAAGACCAGTTGATTGTGGATGTTTCAGCGTTGCGTGGTTGATTTGAACTTCTAATAGAGTTGTCAATTCATGCATTAGTTCTGACGTGAATGTCGTTCCGAGATCTGCTATGATCTTTTTCGGTATGTAGCTGTGCATGAAAAATATTTTCGTGAGTTCCCTTGCTACTGTATCAGCGCTAGCGTTTGTCAATGGTGCTGCAAACAAGTATTTCGAGAAGACATCGATTCCAGTTAATACAAATTTGTACACTGGTGACTTCAGTGGTCCAACGATATCGATTTGCATCATGTCTCCAGGAAAACATTGCAATGACGAGATTGGTTGCAATGGCGGAATTTGATATTTTGCAGATGCTCTTTTGAGTTGCAAGCATGTTAAGCAATTTTTGATTGTGTTAGTTAAAAATTCGGTGAATCCTGGAAGGTAGAATCGTTTTCTGAACTCTTCTGTGGTCCTTGTCATTCCCAGATGTCCACCGGTTCGCGAGTTGTGTAGTCGGTACACGACCTCGTTCCAAAGATGTTTTGGTAGGCAGTATTGCTTATGTTTTACGTGTCCCGTGTCATCGTAGAAGTTTCGATACAGTACTTCGTCGTCGATTATCAGTCTATTGAATTGTTTAGCATATTTTTTCTTGCGGCTATTTTCGTATGTCAGATTGGGAACTTGTTCGTTTCGTTTCCAATCCTTAACTTCTACTATATCATTATCTTTGTCTTGTTCATTTTTCAAGTCGAGTACTTCGTGACTCATATTCAGGTCACTGAAAACATCAGCAGGATCAGGGTGTTGTACTGCTGCGATGATTGGTCTCGTTATTCGGACAAAGTTTTGTGGTTGAATGGTTGCACTAGCTTCCTGTGAGCTTAGCTCTCTCATGACGTTTTCATACAGTCCGAGTTCAAGCAGTTGTGCTCTGAGGTTGTCGTCGATCTTCTTCTTTTCAGGAAATGCATCATCCATTGAGTGGATCAGGTTGAGAGATGCATCCGGTAGTTTCGCTGTCGTGTCGATTTGTATCTCACGCACTGGTATTTTGTCCGTCAATTTCAGTGACAATGAAGCTGATGGGTCAGTTTGCATTCGTGACAAAAAATCTGCTGCATAGTTTGCTTTTCCAGGTATATGAGCGATAATGATGTTGAATGACATGACGCGGTCCAAGAAATTCCAAACCGAGGGTGGAATAGTCTTCGCTTGGAAAAATTGTGTTAAGCTTCGATTGTCAGTCAGTATTATCACTGGTTTTGATGATCCCCAGATGAAATGAGAAAAATGATCGAGGGCAAAATATAGTGCTAAGAACTCTTTATAGTAGATGGAGAACTTCAGTTGTGCTGTGTTGAAGAGTCTTGAACCAAATGACACTGGTGCATACGTTTTCATTTCACCTTTGTTGTCAGTTTTCACATAGTCTTCAACCATTAGCACGAAACCTGTTCCATGATAGCTTGCATCACATAGTATTACATATTGTAATCCTGGTTTTGGTAAGCGGAGCGTTATGTCCGTTGCCTGAATTAGATCATGTTTTAGCACTTCGAGACTTTTCTGATGCTCTTCATTTGTTTGAAATGCTATATCTTTTCTGAGTAGGCGATAGAAAGGTATCAGTTTTTCACCTAAGCTTGGCATATAATTCCGGAAGAATTGAACAAATCCGATTAGTCTTTTAACTTGTTTTACAGTTTGCGGCATTTTAATTTTCTTAAGGAACGTCGAAATTTTCTCTTGTTCAGGTGATATTCCTGCTGG